TACTACTTTTTTATCCAAAATTGTCATTAATTTTATGAAATACAATTCGGAGAAAATAATTCTGGTGAAATTACGACACTGTATGGTACTGCTTAAACTTCTGGTAAAAAAAATATAAATAAAATAAAAAAATAAAATAAAAATATATAATAGCTAAGAAAATCAAAATATATAGTATTTAAACCCTTCATTTGGTAATTTTTCCGTTTACATGGTAACAGTTTACCGGAAATTCTATTTTCAAAATTATCGTTCTTATTACCATCCATTTAGCAAAAAATACAAAACTGGAAAGTAAATTTAACCAAATAAATATATTCCATGCCTGCCTTCAAGGTGTCGTGACAAAATTACCAGATTTTACCACATTTACCAAATTTTATAAGATAATAAAAAGCACATTGTATTGTTAAATTTATCTAATTCACCAAAACGTTTCGGTAAAATTTACCGAGCATTTTGTTGCTCCCATGGAGACAAAAAATACTGTAAATTGTACCATATTCTGGTTGCTTAGACCATACTTTTTTCTCAGTGTATAATTATTTGAATCATATACCATTATTATTTTTATCAAATACTATTATTACAGTATTTAAATGCAATTATTAGTTTCACTCATTAATTTTTTATCAAATACTATTATTCCAAACAAGCACAATAATAATTTCAATCAATTTTTAGTATTATGATTAAGCAAGTACAATTATTATCAAGTATTACTCTATAAAAATTTCCAGATCAAATCAGGCTAAAATGTATTGACACCCAGAGTTCAACATCTATAAAATCCATTTTTATCGTAAAATTTCATACCATTATTTTTACAATAATATTTAAAACAGTGATTCAGGGATTTTGCATTAAATATTACGGTTAAAATTATGGTATATCAGATTTTTTGTTCTGAAAAATTCTACGCTAAAATGTACCGGTAAAATATACCATTATGCCTTAATAAGATAAAAGTTAAAGTAATACAATTATTTTCAAGTAAAACACTATTAAAAATGCCGGTTCAAATTGCAATAAAAGGTACAGGCCACCTGAGTGCAGCATTCGTAAAATCCATTTTACCGTAAAATCTTTTTTATTGTAAAATTTTATACTGTAATTTTTACAATAATATTTTTTTCTATACAGTGATTCAAAGATTTTACGTTAAATGTTTCTGTAAAAATTACGGTATGACAGATTTCTTGCTCTATAAATTTTTGCGATAAATAAGGATTTTACGGCAAAAATTACTAGCATCCTGAGTGCCAGTACTTTTTACCGTAATTCAATAATTATTTTTAAATACATTTTAATACATCATTGTTAAATATTGGACTTACCACAAAGCCCCTGGTACTTGATAATAATTTCTCTAACTTGCGTGCAAGCAGCTTTTTCAAGCTCACATACATTTGGGTACGTCGTACCATCACTACCACACACCGGACGGGAGCCACGACTATCACCATATGTTGCACATTTTTCTGAACAAACACACTTAGCAGATTGATTATCAAGGGATGGTTTACACTTGGATCCATAGTGGCACTCTTTCCCAGCACATGGGTCTTTCACATCTGCGGGAAATTTGTAACAACCGAAAGTCAAACGAAATAAAACAGTTAATACTATTAAGCTGTTTAAAAAATAATTTAATAGAGGCTTGAAGAACATGTTCTGATTTTGCTTAGCTTAAAAAAAAATTTGTAAATGCAAAGATTATTTTTGAATTGTTTTGTATTTTACATAAATGTTTTCACTAGTTGTTTGTATTTTTTAAAAATTATTTTTGGAACAAAGCATTTTATTAAAATTATTTTTTCTTAAAAGCGTAAAAAGCAATCATTAATATACAGCAATAAGTATGAAGTATCATTTTTGTTTCTAACATATTTTAAAATACTATTAAACAATAGTTCTCTCCCCCAAAGCATTTGCTTTTAAATTATTTTTTTTAATTAGTGACATTAAATAAATCTTTCAAAACTTCTTTTAAAACTGCTAAAAATACGCAAATAAAAACGACGCATATTTGCAGGAGTTTTTCGAACTATATCAGATACTAATTAAACTTTCATTTAGCTTTATTGATATTTTAATGTTGTCAAAAAATTGTTTCTCTGAAAATTTGCCATTTGATTAATTTGAAATGGAATTGCTGCTAGCCGAAATTTCTTCAACCTGTTCAGACGCGAAACTGTCGTTGATATGATTTGAATTTCTTCTGTGCCTCATCACAACGATGCTCTTCCAACTGAGCTTGCGCATGCGCCCTCCTCAATTTTTCCATCTTTTGATTTCATCATAAGACGTGCTTATATCTATTGTTTAAAACACCATCAAGCAGTTTCTGAAGTTACAAGAGGGACTGAATTAATTCTCCTTCAATGAACATTTACAAAACTTTCAGGATAAATATATTCTTCTATTTGCTTTTAATATTAATCACAATTTTAAATGATTTATTTTCTGCTTTAACACTTTAGAAAGATAAAACTTTAGAAATAAATGAAACGTTATGCATATTTTATTTTAAGAATACACAGAGAGCAAAATAAGAAAGAACGGATCATCTGAGCAACTTTTGATGTAATAATCTCATAAACATGCAATTTTAATATTTTGAGAAGCAAACTTTCAATATGCTTAGAAAATATATGACTATAAAAACGACTATAAAGATATTTAATAGTTATAAGATATTTTTAGTTTAATATAAAGATATACGACCGTAAATCTTTGGTATTAAACTAAATTTTTAATATTATTTAAAAATAATATAATAAAAATACAGCTTATTACTCAGAAATTATTTGACCGATTCTACTCTAAACTTTGATTCTGGTCATTTAAAGTTATACTAAGCATAAAGTTAGGTATACCTTAAAATTCAAAATTACTTGGATCATTATTAAGATATATAATAAAATATAATAAATGATGTTAAAAGATTGTAGTTTGCATGAAATTATCTTTAGACAAACGAGTTTTATGGGAACAGAAAATACATTTGATTCGCTTGAGTAATTCTATGTGTAAAGAGACGCAAAAAGTAAAACTAACATTACAGAACCTTAACATTCAATCACTCTCCTGACGAAACTAAAAGTTATATTTTTCAGTCCGAATCAAAAATTTAAATCTTTAATAAAAGAAAGGAAAAAAACTGAACGTTATTTTAATAAAAGTGCATTTTCGTACCTGCAAATTTGAAATACAATCATCTATATTAATTAATTAGCGTGCCTAAGGTTATTCTTTTAGATCATGAAGATTGCAAATTAGTGCAAAATAATCCAATTATTTGATCAAAAGATATTAAGGTGTTCCATTCTTATTAGGGGGACCGGAAAGTAATATTGTTTGGGTGCGTTAAATATTCGTTAATCTTGAAAACCAATTCATTTTCTTCGATCCGGCATTGAAAGGCTGTTGGTAACGAGGGTGAATACATTACTGATTAAAAAATAAAATCTTGATAACAAATATCTAATGCACCGAAACGACATTACTTTCCTGTTCCCCTAATATTTTGAGCACTATACACTAAGTGGTAATTATTAAGTATTACAAGTCTAAATTACACTCTCTCTAGAGAATTTGGTATATTTCCAGGTTTATTTCAAAAAAAATTTTAAGCTTTTAAATTATTTCATCAGTCAAACACATATTCATTTAAAATTTGTTGAAATTCTTTTGTTAATTTCTAATACTGTACAAACGTTTTGGTGCTTAGTTGCTAACATTTTTGGTGTTGAAGTAAATTTTCAGATTTTTTATTTACTTTTACTTTTTTATTCAATTATTCAAATAATGTAATTTATTACTGAACAAGAAAATAATTGTTTAAAAAAAGTGTAATATATTAAAAGAAAAAATCTGTTGTATTAGAAAGACGCTGTCGAGCAGATGGTTAAACCAAGGTTGGCATAAAAACCAGGTTTTTTGAGGAAAAACAAAAAACAACCAGTTTTTTGGGGGGAAACAATCCATTTTTNTTATTACTGAACAAGAAAATAATTGTTTAAAAAAAGTGTAATATATTAAAAGAAAAAATCTGTTGTATTAGAAAGACGCTGTCGAGCAGATGGTTAAACCAAGGTTGGCAAAAAAACCAGGTTTTTTGAGGAAAAAACCAAAAAAAAACATTTTTGGTTTTTTCCAAAAAAACAAAAAACAACCAGTTTTTTGGGGAAAAACCATGGTTTAAACCACATGCCAACCATGGATTAAACTAAAGTAAAAATATTGGAACAATTTCAGGATTCAGTCTATTTAAAAAAAGAAAATACATTAAAACACTTAAAATTGAAGAATTCTTGCTTACAGAGTTATGACATTTTATTTACATGTAGTATAATACAAATTATTTATCTGCATACGTAGATTCTTTTTAAACTGAAGTTAGAATAAGATTGAAACTATCTATAAATTATTTTCGATATTTGGTGTAATAAAATGCATATGACACGTGTGGAATCAATCTCTGATTGATGATAATAATTAAGTCTTTTTTCTTACTCTGCATGCGTTATTAATGCATGTAAAACTTTTTCATTCATAAAATATTTATAAATTCATTTTTACGAAATGCATCAGATAAAAAACAATTTTTATTTTCATTTGGTCTTGCCTTATACTTAATCTAGAAATCAAAAGTGAAGGATTCAGAGCTAATTATTTTTCGTAAAACAGTGTATATCAAACATTTCAGTTTTATTTTAAAGACAAGTTTTCTGTAGGATTACAACCGATCCCAGATTCCAATACTGTGTATTATGTTAAATTTATAAGGCATATAATTATTTTGAAACCTCATTATACCAAATTTTAAATCTAATAGTTTCAGGGCAGAAAAGCAAAATGCAACATTGAGAAAAAAAAATTTGCGAAACAATTCGTAAAAAAAACAGTTAAAATACAAATTAATTAAAAAAAATTAATATGTTTAAGTCAGAAACGAAATTGGACTTTACAACAGGTCAAATTTCAACTCTGTAGTTGTATTCTGCGGCCCACAGAGTCACCTGTATGGTATTTTTTCTTCGCGTTTAAAAGTTTATAATTCTCATACTAACAACCCAATATTAATTGTTTCGATCTATCGTACTTCTTGTACATTTTTCTACAATTCATCGTAATTTCAAACTTCTAAGTCTAATAGTTCTTACGCAGGAAAACTTGAAACTGATCACCCAAAATAGCAATGTCGGCAATAGCAATCACCCAAAATAGCATTGTCGGCAATAGCAATCACCCAAATTAGCGATTTGTCAATATCTGGAAGGTTCCAAGTAAGGTTTACGGATTATTAGCAGCAAACCAAGTCATTTAATCTCTCTAGTTTTCCTAGCCTTTTCCAAGCCTATTGAAAAAATTTAATTGCTGAACCAGGAAAAAATGCACGTCATTGTAAAGAATTATGGCATGGCAGATTCTTGGACTCATCTCCCTTGCATGTCCACACTATTAGGCAAGCATTGAATTCGATATATATATATATATAACAGGACATTTAAAGACAACAGCAAACGTCAGACCGTGGAAGATGTTATAAAGTTGGTCAATACACTTAGTCGGTAAATTTTATCTCATCCTCCTTACTCCTCAGATATTGACCCATCAGGCAATATTTTTCATAAATAACATTAAATTTAAAACATATTTTCCAGATGTATTTATAAATTAAACAATTAATAAAAAATTAAATCATTGTTTATTACCGAATCATTTTTATTTTTGTTTGTATGAATGTACTACCGCCAACGTAAAATAATATATTCAGTAACTGTACATTTTATTTTTATGTAAAACATGCAGTAAATTACCTATATCTTTTCCAAAACAGGCAATCAATTATTCTATATGCAAAAGTATTAATTTAATTACTGCTCAAAATACAAAACTTTATGTGTATATTTTTTAAAAAATATTGTTGTGAACATCACAATACCTATGTTACTATACTTTTGAAATTTTATCTACGTTTTAAACGATATCAATCTTTTTGCCTAATATTATCTGAAAAATGTTCGATAAAATATAGTTCTTTTGTAAGAATATCATTTTGTTCAGAAGATGGTATGCCAGTTACGGCTGATAAAACCATCAAAAAAGATCTTAAACTGCTGCGTGAATTTTTTAAACTTTATAGCTTTTATTCTTATTTTCTTCCAGCGAAATTCGAAAGCTTAAGAATTTAGCCGCTGGTTCAAGTCATTTTCCCAGATGTTGCCTATACGATAGAACATTAAGAAGGAGTTATGTGACAAACTGCTGAAGGAAAAGAAATATACCTTCTCTCTTTAGGTACTTGGAACTTTTCTCATACTATCATAAAACTAAAAGGAAGATTACAACACAAAGTTGGCTCATCCTTGCAATGTTTTCTACACAAAAGATAATCCTCCCTTCAAATGCTTTAAGCCTTAAAGTTTTTGAAGAATTTCCTTACATATTCACCACTTTATTTCTTATGGTTTAAAGTAGAGATTTGTTGAAATATTTTTGAAATCCCAAAAGATATTAAAATGTAGTTCACTGTAAAAATTCTGGAGCCAATCAAAGTAAAATGTAC